TATTTGGTAACGTTTATCCGCACTTTCCTCACTTCACTCAGGTGAAAATGAGTACCTAGCTTCGGTTAGGGACGTCCCTCGGATAGGACGTTAAATAGAGGCCCTGTGTTTGGGCCCACGCACGTTAAAGAATCCACCACATTTATCGAAAAGAGTAGGGGACCTTCCCGGTGTGAGTGGTTCAAAACCTTACAGTCTGGTCTCGGGTTTGACATCTTGAAGAGGTGATAGGACGTTATGTCTGTTATGTCAATCCTTCCACAAATGTGGTAAATCTTCATAAACTAGAGTTCCACGATCTCATACCTTCGCCAAATGATGTTAGCTTTTATGAATAAGAACTTATATACAATGTATTAATCCCCCTGATTATGCAAATAGGATCATCAATTGCATGAATTATATCTGTTGATCATATTCTCCACCAACAGACAGTCTTATTTTAACAAAGAATGCCATTATAGCATTTCCTCATATATTATGCAAATGAGGTCCTTATTTAAATAAGTTATGTTAAATTATGTTCACCTTCACTTAACTTCAAACACCCCAAGTATAAAATTCCAGGCAGTTACCACTATGCAATTATAACATTTTCTCATTAATCATGCAAATTAAGTCTTTATTTGCATAATCGATATCTGCCTGTGTTTCTCTCGTTAATAATAACATATGTTGCAAGCTTGAACTTCCTATCATGAAATGCAGCTGATTAATAGAATTTCCTCATTAATTATGCAAATTACATCCATATTTGCATAATTGTAATATCATTATGTCAAGCATTACTCAAGCTACCTACATACCAAAAATCATGATGATCCATTAATCGGTTCTTGAGTTATCCTCCTTTAAACATTTGTCCTTTAAACCCCCTGCAGTTCTAGAGCAAGCAACTAGGGGGCTCAAACTCATGTCACTTCATCCCCAGCACAAGAGCTATCTGCCATCTAAATTTCGTCACCCTAGCATGTCTGGATCATGAGATATCAAAACCGGAAGTTCTGCTGCAGTACCATGACAAGCCGCCAGGTGGCCCAAAATCTTATCATTTCGAGCACCCACCTACCAAATATCAAGATAATCCATCTAAGCTTTCTCGAGTTATGCTGTTGACAGACACACAGACACACACACGGCCAGGAAAACATAACCTTCGTCAATTCTTGGCGAAGGTAATAAATACAAGAAGTACAAGACAGACCCACCCAGCAACTTTAATACAGGGTTCCTTCCTGCCGGGCAGAATATAACGACTCCATACTGTCCTTTCCAAGGACGATCCGGGACTGGAACTGTTTACCTGCAGAGGCCATCCTCTCTTCCACCTTGGACAGTTTCAGAGCCAATCTCCTGACTCTGTCCTTACCACCTTACTAAACTCAACACGGGACAGACCATAAACACCTCTACAGACCCATTCCCAGTATGCAGTCTCACAAGCGACAAAATCTCCAGTAACTGAAGGCGGTCGCTCACTGAAAGAAGAAGAAGAAGAAGTGGCAACCTGAAATGTCAATGGGCAACACATGCTTTCGCGAAGTAAAAGCGTTTATCATTAATTCTCAGGAATCCACACTCTCAGGACGCGCTCACTGCCTTTTCCGTGATATGGTTCTTCGTATATTTACACGCGACGCCATATTAATTGTAATTGTGAAGCTACCCACTGTGCGCCGAGAGTGTACAAAAATAGCACTTGTTCCGGAGTTGCTACTAAAAAAATACTACCGGGAAACCTTACGCACTGGCCTCCCTATCTTTGCTCACAGTGCCCATACCCATCCGCTTAATATCATGCACAACCATCAACGACTTCTAGAGTTTTCACGTATAAACATAGTACGTAGTGCATTGATGCCTCTCCTTTTATCAGTGTCTACTACTTGTTGCACTTGTGTAAGATCCACTAAACGGTGATGAAGCTCTAACGCTCGCTGTAACCGCATTCAACACCTGCATTTTTTAACGTCACTATTCTAACATCAGGCAAAATGAAAATTACATGTATTACTAAAAACACAAAATCTGTCACATTTGGATACCACGCAACTACCCTTCCCGTATGAGGAATGCACTGAACATGAACCTATTTAGACACGTCTGGGGACAAAGAAGCCTTGTCTTGTAACATAATCTCCTCCAAATGTCAGTCTTGTCTCCACAAAGGAAGCTGTAATAGCATTTCTTCATAAAGTATGTAAATCAGGTCCAAAATTATACATGTATTAATTAATTGATACTAATTTATAAGTTATGTGTAATGATGTCCTCTTTCAATTAACTTCCAGATGCCGGAAGTATGAAATTTGACACAGTTACTACTACAGAATTATAGCATTAATTTGACATTAATTATTCTCATTAATTATGCAAATCAGGTTTTCGTTTACATAATAAACATCTGCCGATGTTCCTCTCGCTCTCAAATACATGTACCACTAGTTTGAATAGTCCCATTAAGAAACGAAGCAGATTTCTAGAGTTTCCTCATTAATTATGCGACTTACATCATGCATAATTGTCATCTAATTATGTTAAGCATGCTACTTACATATAAAAAATCATGACGATCCATCAACCTGTTCTTGAGTTATCCTCCTTCAAAATATTTTAAACAAGCATTCCTGCAGTTCCAGAACAAGTTGCACAAACTCATGCCACATATTCCCAGCCCCTAGAGCTTTCCACATCTCAAAAAATTATGAACCTGATGTCACGAAGTGACAGTTATACATTAAGCACTTACATTGTAGTAGCTATAGTTAGACCCTTCCTTCGAGCGGGGGTTCACTGCCTGTTCGAGCACACCGTGCGCACGTGATCACCACGTGTGTTCGAACAGGTAGCAACGACACCTGTTCGAAGGAAGGGGTTCTAGAAAGGTAACGTTATATGGGGGAGACTTGAAAAGATTAAAGAAACAACAGGACACGTTATCTCTGTCTCCGTGTTTTCTCTACGCCACCGTGACATTTGGTAGTACGGCTGGGGTAGTCCAAGATATAGACCTGACTACGCACCACAGTCCAGCGATGAAGAAGAGGAAGATGATGACTTCCGCCTGAAGCGCCAACCCGAGGTCGTCATGCAACCGTCCGCTGAGGTCGACGACCCCCGTCTCCGACGTCTGCTCAAAGCACGCACCGCGGAAGACGAGAGCAGCGATGAAGAGTTGGACAGGGTTGCCCGACACCAGAGAGTTCTGGAACCAGAGGTTCAGGAGGAGGCAGAGGAAGACGATGAACCGGAGCGTCTGGCGCGGGAAGAGGAGAGCAGCGGGGAGGAGGATTTAGACGAGGAGGAGATCGAGTGCCGCCGTATGCTGACGAGGCTGCGGGCGCGGGAAAGGGCACAGGCCGAGGAGGAGGTGATGGAACTTGTAGAAGAGGCAAAAGAAGAGGAAGAAGAAGAATCTGAGGAAGAGTCGTTAGAATATTCGGACAGTGAAGATGGGACTGGACTCAGACTCAAGCCTGTGGGGGAGGAGCTGAAGCTTTCCTTGGGTCAGATTCAGGCGTATTAAATTAACGTAAATAAGAGGATGATTAACGTAGATAAGTTATTGTTCAACTAAATTGAAGTTTCTTATTGAAAGTCTGGAGTTTGATATTTGTTTTACGTCAGGCTAGCGCTTGGAGGAGGTTGAGAGAGACAGAGAGTTAGTGGAACGAGGAGGCTGAGAGAGAGACAGTGAGATAGAGAATTGCGGTTGTCAATGGTTGTATGTGCTGCCCTAACCCACCACCCCCAGAGGTGTGTCCCGCTGGAGCAGGTTCCTTCAGATGGTCCGACGCGCACAACGTAACGATGCGGTCGTGAGAGCATCTCGCCAGGGTGCCTCTGCCAGGGAATCAACCCAGCAAGCGCCTTCCAGATGGATGAGTTCCTGTTCCGTGCGGTCCTGCGGGAGTGCGCGAGCCAACCACCGAGAGGGTGGGGGAGGACGGACATGGCAACCGGGCCGGGAGAAGCAGAGACTTTATTTGAAGAGACATTGTTACATGGCATAGAAAGCTGGGGGAGATGTCACGAAGTGACAGTTATACATTAAGCACTTACATTGTAGTAGCTATAGTTAGACCCTTCCTTCGAGCGGGGGTTCGCTGCCTGTTCGAGCACACCGTGCGGACGTGATCACCACGTGTGTTCGAACAGGTAGCAACGACATCTGTTCGAAGGAAGGGGTTCTAGAAAGGTAACGTTAATATGAGGGAGACTTGAAAAGATTAAAAAAACAACAGGACACGTTATCTCTGTCTCCGTGTTTTCTCTACGCCACCGTGACAATGACCCTCGTGTAAAATTTTACCTCAAACTTTGAAGATCCACTGCAGTACTGTAGGTACTCACTACGAGGCCCAACTTAAAAATAACCTTCGTTTTTGCTGCCCCTACCGGTACCCGTCCACTAAATATCATTAGCAACCATCCACTGCTTCTCGAGTTATATTGTACAAAAACAAAAACAAAGAAACACAACCCTCTGCAGCAACTGCTTCTCGAGTTATATTGTACAAAAACAAAGAAACACAATCCTCTGCAGCAACGTAGGAACTTGACAGGATAACCATATTCGAACTTTGTTTCCATAACCGCTACTCACCTACCAAATATCATTAAGATCCATTCACAGCTTCTCGAGTTATGCTGAACACATACAATCAACAAATGAACACAAGGCCTGCTGCAGTAGCGTTAGAAATTTTTTAACTTGACCTACATTTCCACAATAGCTACCCACATACCAAATGTAAAAATGATCTATCCATAACTTCTAGGGATATGACGTTGACCTAAATACAGACCCACACCACAGCTCCCAAGCCTAAAATATACCCTTCAGACGAACCCACAACCCACTGCAAAAGTTACCTATAGGGGAGATAATATGTAACTATTATTTGTCAAAAGTGGTGGAAGGCGAAATATATTTAACTCCAACTGCTCCTTTTAACAATCAGGACAGAAAAGAGCTACTCGAAGAAGCCACCAAAACTCACCACAACTTCCAAACGTTTACTGACGAAAAGGATACTACAACCCTGGTAACCTCCCAAAACCCATTAATTGCAAAAAAGTCGCCTTCCACTGCTTCCAAAACAAAAGTCAAACCCAAAAAGTTTAGATTGTATTCCACAGTAATTATTGAATTGTCACACTTATTCCACTTGTCTCCATTGCACTCTCTGCACACCCTGTACTTTGTCTGAAGGTTGCACTTAGCCCTCGGGCATGAATTTGCAAATAACAACAATTGCGTATAAAATATAATACTCATGCAACAACATGTGGATATGATAAGACTTGGCTAAAATCAATAAGGGATTAACGTTGAACACATTATTTGTATCAGGTCTAAAATTGTGTACGCAATAATATGTGAAATATTCAATGGTTTCTAAATAAAACGGACAATCCAATTATTGCGTAAAGGAGGCGGCTAATGATAAAATTCCTGCCCGAGGGTATCTTGCTACGAGAGGGAGAACAGGTGGACAACTCTGCTTTACATATTAGGCCCTCATTCCACTGGGACGGCGCTCTGTCTGCAATAAATGAAATTCATGATGGAAACGAAATGAGGATCTTATTTTCATAATCCTCATTTCGTAAAAATGTATCATTTCGTCAGTCAGTCCTTAACATCATTTGGCGAAGGTATGCAATAGTGGAACTCTTGTTTGAATATGATGTAGGATGTACAAGAATGATAAACACACAGAACGCAAATTAAAGGATTTTCTGTAAATTCTGTTGAGTGATCTGTGAACTCTTTGGTCACCCGTAAAGGTGACATTTAAGGTTTGGTCGCGCATAGAGCGCAGAAAGACTCTACTTGTCTACCACGTTACGTTTTCAAAAAGCTGTCTATTCCATGATTCCACTGGGAAATACAATAACAGAGGGATGAGGAGTTCACTCACCAGAGCGAGGTTGTTTGGTTTCGCTACCATGGTTACTATCACGTGATTTGGTGGGTGGGGTCAGTGACGTCATGACTGCACCTTAATAGAGTACCTACCACACAACAGGTGTTTTGCCAGCTGCAGCTGTAGCCAAGCCTTCCAGCTGGTGTAAGGTACTTTACCTAAGGTGTGGGTTTTAACTATAAGTGCGTGTGTATGTGTGTAATGTATACCAGTTATAGTCTGTCCTTGGCGGCGACCGATTATTTAGTTACTTCCTTGAATGTCATCACGTTGTTGTTCACGAGTCATGCCAGACCTATTTGGCTGTTCCAACACAACTGTGGAGGAGGGGGGGGGGGTCGACAAGGTTGCATTGGAAAGGGTGCGAGGTTTTACAAGGAACTAGGGGCGATTGGAGCAAATCTGGATAGGGTAGTACCCTATCTAGATTTGCGCACCGTAGGATTAAAAGTTGGTTTTGACCTCTTCCCCCACCCTCCACAGGTTTTTAACAGCCAATTCTCAATAGAACAAGGTGTTTTCTTTATTCAGTTAAACAACTTGATTATATTTGGTGTATACAGACATCATGTCATTAGTTATATCTTATAATATGACTTACATAACTTGTTTATTGTTGATTGTCAGTGTATCCATAGTATGTATATATTATTTGACTGCCATGTAGTGGTGCTTTACTGTAAGACCACAGGAAGAATAGCAAATAAATACATGTAACGTTAACAACTCAAACACAAACACCATTAGAGAATTGTTCTGCCAGGTCAGCTAATCCACAAACTCAGGGTACTCTACCACTCTATTTTAAATACAAACAGTTGATTTCTGTTGCATTCTGGGACCTTAATTTTCCTTGAACACATTTGAGTCACTTTCCCCCCTTGACCTTTCCGAGGACCTGCATGGGGGTTCTCAACAATGCTCTACGCAAAATTTTAATTACGCTTTACAATAAAATTCAAGTGGCTTCAATGCAGAATTAAAACGGTGAATACGCTCTACTCAAAATGCACCAATTACGCTCTACGTAGATTTAAAATGGTCAATTATGCTCTACGGAAAAGGCCATGAGGGCCCCCCTTTTTAGAAGGGTGGGCATTCTTTTTGAATCTCCTTGCTCAGTGGCACCACTAATGACCAGTCCAGTCATGATAGAAAACGTGCTAGCTGCCTGACCATTGAATTATTTGGAGATATTTAAGGGACTGACCAGTAACTTAAGGAACTTAAGAAAGGGTCAGGATATGACTTAGGATTAGCCTGGAGTCCAGCCTTGTTACCTCCATGAAAAATGGAGGTATTGTAGATTACATGCATTACATGTATGAAAGTACTAGTATGTAAAATACTGTAATTGCAGAATTTCCTCTTTAATTATGCAAATTAGGCCACACCAATTCAATTGATTGGTTCTTGGATTTTGTTCAGAAAAATATGAAGCGACAGGGCGAAAATACAGTGTATAAAAATAAAAACAGCATCCTATTATAGCCCAAAATGCTACAATATGAGCCATGATAGCCATGAAGTCAACACAATAATATTAGGTTGGGTTAATATTTAAACAATGAATTTTGAACTTTTAATCAAAACACTACATGGATAGATGGAAAAACTGTACCCCCTAGGAAGAAAAGGACTTTTCTCAACTGTTGGGGGCAAAATATGAGCATATTTGATTTGATTCAGAACCAGAATCTTTTTCTTTTTTTTTTTTTTTTGCAAATCAGAGAAAAATAAAGAGGCGAATCCAAGGACAAAGAAATTGAATTGGTGTGGTCTTAATTTGCATTTGATTATGTACATCTCTTTATAAGCTACCTACATACCAAAAATGATGAAAATATGTATTTAAATTTTCCTATACAACCTCAACTCCCCACTCTATTAGCTTTGGTTGAAGATTTAAATGATTTTTCCTCTGTCTCTGGTTTAAAACCAAACTACGATAAATGTAAAATTTTGCGATTTGGATCTTTGAGAAATACTCCTTTTAAACTCCCATGTTCACTCCTACTTCAATGGACAGATGGACCAGTACAGATGCTGGGTGTTAATATGTCAGATACATGTAATACAGAAGACCAATTAAAAAATTGTTTAATTAGACCCTTCAACCCTGGAGAGGTCAGCCTTTGACACTATACAGCAAAGTACTAGTAACTCTTATTAACACTCTTGTTGTTTATCAATTCACATTGCAAATCTTTTTCTGGCCCTACCATCTCCTGATGATGATTTGTTTAGAAAATATCAGGAAATGATCTTCAGATTTATTTGGAATGGTTGCCTGAGAAAATAAAGCGTATTACATTGTATAATAGTTATGGACAGGGAGGTGTTAAGTTGATACACTTACAGACCTTTGATCGGACCCGGAAAGCCTCATGGATCCCCAGACCACACTTGTATATGATAATAGTTTTTGTAATAAGATGTTAAGAGAGGCAAATCTACTTGAAATTTTTTTAGAAATGGTGTTTTTCCTTTTATACAAACAGACAGTAACCATATAACCAGCACCCTTGCTCTTTTTAAGCCTCCCCTTAGCCTTTTCTTCAAAGACGTATTACTAATGAAATGCTTTCAGGTTAAGCCACCAGTATCAGGATATACAGTCACAACTGATCTGTTGCAATTCAAACATACTGATTCAAGATAAACCTGTAATGTGGGAAAGACCTACACATGTATCTCACAAGGCATTATGTTCATCAATGACCTTGTTGATGGTGATGGACGATTTTTAACATATGAAACATTACACAGTAGATATGGTGAAATGTTTAGTAGATTAGAATTTAGTAGATTAGAATACAATCAAATACTTTCTGCTACACCAGATACATGGAATAAAATACTCCAATCATAGGTCCCAATACAAGAATTGGTATGAACAGCTAACAAGAGAAAAACTAAACATTGTTTTGATACATTTAATGTAGTTATTTGGGACCTGGAACAAAAGAGTACAGTTCTCAGCAATGTCTTATTAGTCAAAATATTCATTTTTTAAACAAAGGTGCAAACACCTGATGTTAAAGCATTTTATAGCTTATTTGAAATCATATTATAAAACAGAACAAATTATAGCCTCCAGAAAGAACAAACAAGAAAACAAGAGTTCTGAGATCTCATACCTCCATGAAATATGGGCTTGATATGTAAATGTAAATTTCTTCTTTAATTACGCAAATGACCTCTTCATTAACATAATATATGTATCATGATGTTAACTTTTGATTAACAGATGTCCCAAGTATGACATTCCCATCATTCACCATTAAGAAATCATAGAATTTTCGCATTGATTATGCAAGTTAGGTCATCATTTGCATAATTAGTATCTGTTGATGCTCCATCTGCCACAGGTTACATACATTACATGTATGAAAGTGCTATAAGGTCTCGGACCGGAGTTTTTTTCACGATTTTGGATCCGGCGGACACCCTCAGACCGAAGGGCTATAACTGCGCCAAAAAAAGTATGCCGGGAAATCTCATTACATCAGTCAACGGAGGTTTTCAGCCGGCTTCCGATACAATTTTGGTTATTGTCCGTCGACTCTATAATTTGGGTAGAAACTGTAGTTAAACGTAAATTTTGGATACGAAAAATGTAGTTTTTTTGCAGTTTTTTCAACGGACCTGCTTGGAAAAAACGAATTTTCCCAGGCTAATGGCTTATATGCTGAAATAGCTTACTACTTTATGTTTCTGAAAAACAGAAAAAAGATATAGGTTGTTGCGATAAGTTTTTCGCAAAATCCGGTGACGCGAACCCCTAGAAATTCCACATAAAACGCAGCTATTTGGGTCATCAGGCGACAAACCGCATCACCCTTGCTCGCGGACTAATACCAAAAACGCTTCGCTGGCTGTCCAACTTCACCGCGCCGAAAAACACTACAATCCCAAAGCTTTTTGATCAATTCAAAACCTAGTTGAAAATCTACAGCGATCGCCGAGCTATGGGGAGCCAAACCTAGCGTGACAACCTCGCAGCTCCGGCGATTTACTGCGCACTATTTGGAACCCTGGTCAGAATTAAACTCCGACCCGGAACCATAACGTAAAACACTGTAATTATAGAATTTCCTCATTAATTATGCAAATAAAGTCCTCATTTGCATAATTTGCATTTACTTATGTACATCTCTCTCTCAGCAAAAATGATGAAAATACGTTGTTCCTATCTGGACTTATTGGCTTTCAAAGATTTTGCCCGAAGGTCCCCTGTAGTTCCAGAACAAGCTGCTAGGGGGACCAAACCCACACCACTTATTCCTGACAGGAAAATCTATCTGTCACCAAAAATTCAAGACCATAGCATGTTCAGGACAAAAGATACAAAAAAGTTCTGCTGCAGTACCAAGATTTGACCTTGACCTTCGTCTTCCTAAGACTTACCAGCATACCAAATATCATCACAATCCATAAAGGTGTTATGAAGTTATGCTGACTACAAATGTGCGGAAACACAAACACACACACACAGACAGTCAGACACACACACACACAGACAGACGCGTCGAAAACAATACCTCCATTTTTCATGGAGGTAAAAACAATATATTTCATCCATACCCTGTTTTTTTAACTATAAACAATGCTACTTAATTGATTGTTGACCAAAATGTGCTCCTATGACCAACAAGAGTTCTGAGATCTCATACCTCCATTAAATATGGGCTTGCTTTGCCATACTTCATTTCAACATGTCCTCATTAATTATGCAAATACCTTTACATTAACATAATATATGCATATATGCATATATGGTGCTAACCTTTAAGTAACTTATATACACATGTCACGAGGTATAAAATTCCCATCATTCACCAATAAGGAGTCTGAATTTTCACATTAATAATGCAAATTAGGTCGTCATTTACATTATTGGCATCTGTTGATGTTCCGCCTTCCACAGATTAAATAGATTACATGTATAAAAGAACTACTATAAGGAACACTGTGATTATAGAATTTCCTCATTAATTATGCAAATTAAGTCCTCATTTGCATAATTTTATTTAATTATGTACAACTCTCTCTCTCAGCTACCTACACACCCAAAATGATGAAAATACATTGTTCCTATCTGGACTTACTGGCTTGAAAAGTTTTTTACCAGAAACTAATCTGCAGTTCCAAAACAAGCTCCTAGGGGGACCAAACCCACACCACTTATCCCTGACAGGAAAATCTATCTGTCACCAAAAAGTCAAGACCATAGCATGTTCAGGACAAACGATACAAAAATATATATCTATATATCATACTGGGCAAGGCCCCAAACTGGGGCATCACGCCCAGGGTCTTGACAATTGCGGCCAGTGGGGTGAGGTGCTCCGTTCAAGGAAAAAAAAATCAAACAAGAAAGTGCTATGGTGTACAATAAACAGTGCTATGTACATGGCCGCAAAATTTCATTTTGTTATGGAATGTACCAAATATGATGTTATACGTAACAAGCTATTTACATTTCTCGAATCAAGTACAATAGATTTCAAGAGTCTCGATATTAGAGACAGATTTGAATATATCTTTACATGTAAAGGTCCCCACAACGCAAAAATAGGTAGATATATGAAGGAATGCTTTGTTATTAGAAAAAATTCCGAAACTTGATTGTTACACTTAATCAAAGACTTCTGCTATTATTACCTCCATGAAAAATGGAGGTATTGTTTTTGGTGTGTCTGTCTGTGTGTGTGTCTGTCTGTCTGTGTGTGTTTCCGCAACTTTGTGGTCATCATTACTTCAGAACGCCTTTATGGATTGTGATGATATTTGGTATGTTGGTAAGTCTTAGGAAGACGAAGGTCAAGGTCAAATATGGGCCTCTTGGTGGATGACCTTGGTACTGCAGCAGAACTTTTGTCCTGAACATGCTATGGTCTTGACTTTTTGGTGACAGATAGCTTTTCCTGTCAGAAATAAGTGGTGTGGGTTTAATCCCCCTACCAGCTTGTTCTGGAACTGCAGGGGACTTTCGGGCGAAATCTTTAAAAGCCAATAAGTCCAGATAGGAACAACATATTTTTATCATTTTTGGTAAGTAGGTAGCTGAGAGAGAGATGTACACGATTAAATGCAAATTATGCAAATGAGGACTTAATTTGCATAATTAATGAGGAAATTCTATGATTACATTATAGTACTTTCATGTAATATATGTAATCTATGGCAGATATAACGTCAACAGACACCGATTATGCAAACGATGACCTAATTTGCATAATTATTGCGAAAATCATATGATTTCTTAATGGGGAATGATGGCAATTATGTACCTTGTGACATATGTAGGTTACTTAAATGTTAACAACACGATGCATATATTATGTTAATATAGAGGCAATTTGCATAATTAATGAGGAAGTTTAAATGAGGATGTTTAAGTGAAATATTGCGAAAGGATAGGAGTTTGACACGGAAAATATTGTAAGTTGAGTTTAGAACACCATAAATTAAACTACATTATATCAATTGCCACCTTATTTCCATATTCAATGAAACAAAACATTTACATAAACTCTACATATTTCATAAAGGTATGAAATCTCCAAATTCTTGTTCCTTATTATTTGAATAATTATGATGTAGACTTCTGCTATTATCCCTTATTATTTGAATAATTATGATTTAGATTTGTTAGGTTTATTTGACATTAGGTCTTGTTCAACACATTTTATTGTTTGCTACTCTCTTTATGTAGTTTGCCATACATTGTACCATGTGCAATTGTCGTGCAATAAAGTTCTTCTTCTCTCTTCTTCTTATATCTTTCTTGTAGAACACTACCGGCATTAAGAATGGCATTCCAACCAGTCACTAGCCAGCCAGGTAAGAAAACAGGTAACACCGAGCAGATTATTATTGGAATGAGCAGAGCACTTTGGAGTAATGCCTCTGACTATTTACAGCTTAGAGGTACATATCCAATATTTTGTCACAAACTTCTCTGTCACATAGCGGATCATAATGACCCCCAGTGGGGGGTCTTCACGCTTCGTTAAAAATTGAAAAATCTCAAGATTCATTCTAAAGATCTCAATAATTTAGACGAAATCTTGAGATCTTATAAGACAATCTTGAGATTGTTCATGACAATCTCCAGATCTTTCAGAAAATCTTGAGATGAAAACAAAAGGTCTCAAGATCTTTCCAAATGTTTTCAAAGTATCTTGAGATTTTTCCAAAGCATCTCGAGATGCTTTAAAAAATATCAAGATTGTTTAAAAGATCTCACGTTTTTTCAAGATTGCTTTAAAAATCTTGATATTTCTTAAAGCATCTCGAGATGCTATGGAAAAATCTCAAGATACTTTGAAAACATTTGGAAAGATCTTGAGACCTTTTCTTTTCATCTTAAGATTTTCTGAAAGATCTGGAGATTTTCATTAAAAATCTCAATATTGTCTCATAAGATCTCAAGATTTCGTCTAAAATATTGAGATTTTTCAATTTTTAACGAAGCGTGAAGACCCCCTGGGGGTCATTATGATCCGCTATGTAACAGAGAAGTTTTTGACAAAATATTGGATATGTACCTCTAAGCTGTAAATGGTCAGAGGCATTAGTCCAAAGTGCTCTGCTCATTCCAATAATAATCTGCTCGCTGTTAGGTGTACTTGTTTTGGGGCCACTGTAGTTTTGCTTTAAAATATCATCCCTCATAATTCTAATCTCCTAGACTTGTAATGAGTGAATCTGCATGACTTTTGGGTAAATGCAACCCATCACTTAATGTTCTGTACCTCTACCATCATATCAATGTGAAATCGAGGGGATTCCTTCCTCAGCTAACCGACATCTTGCACACGCAGTCGCCCATGGTCATATCATTATTTAGCCAAATGAATAGAAATTTTGAGCACTTTGTATCCTAGAAACATCTGCCTCAATAGCATTTCTTTTTTGGTATATTAGGCCACACCAATTTAATTTGTTGCTTCTCAGATTTTTTCAGAAAAAAATCTGAAGCGACTGGGAAAACAAAAACAAACAAAAAAACAGGCCAAGCCACCCCATGATAGTTACGATGATTGTTAGGATATGAGCCATGAAGTCAACATACCAGGCTGGTTTATGATTAAACAATAGATATTGAACTTTTAATGAAACAAAGTTGTATTGTCACATTGAAAACTTCAATATATACTTCAGAATATGCCAAAAAGCAGTTACTCAAGCAACTGGATATGATTTTGGAAACGTCAGACGTTTCAGCTAGTATCCACAGTAGCTTTCGTCAGTTCATTACTTCAGAATATGGTTCGCTCATCACATATCATTAGGACAATGTAGGATACTAGCAGCAGTAGTAGTTCATCAAACCAAGGAATTTCTAGAATAACTCAAGGGCATATCAAACCCACTGGCAAAAATTTGTTTTTGGTTCCAGCTCAAGTTCTGCAAAGCTTTCAACCCCTAGAATTTCAACACCTTAAATTCTGACAACATCACAAATGGTGCCACTTTCCTATTTCTCCCACCAGTATTACTAGTATTTTCTTACTTCTTAAAGCCTACATTCAGGTTCTGCTCAAAACTTCTGCGTTCTGCTAACTCTGGCCGCCATATTCATTTGTATGCAAAATTCTATTGGTTTCTGTAAGTCACATGACCAACTGGTAAGAGAGACACCTATCAATATCGTCTCTTGATAAAACTGCAGTTTTTAGTTTTTTTGTGATTTATTTTTTGGCAACTACTCTGGGGCGTAGCCTGCGGGTAAAATTGAATTTTTAATTTTTTTTCCATTCAGCAAAATCTGATAGTGGCGATTCCGAGAACCAACAAATTAAATTGGTGTGGCCTAACGATAGTTAGTTACTTTTGTATCTGTTAACTGTTTCCTTTCATCTTGTTTTGTTGTGACCCATACTTTAAGCCAAGTGTGGCAAACATGTGCAATAAATTCATTCATTTATTATTTGATAGTAGTCATGATCAGTAGCCAAAAATAAAGTTGTTGATACGTGCAAAAAAACAAAACACAAAAGCTCCGAGTTGCAGTGACGTAGGAACATACCTTAATGCTCATTTTCGAATTTGACAATTTGACATTGAATTTGACATTTGACAATCCTACCAACCTACAAAAACAAAAACGACCCATCCATAGCATCTTGAGTTATATCCTGCTCACAAACAAATTTAACAGATACAAAAGGTCAGCTGCAGTGACATAGTAGCCTGCCGCAGGCCATGGCAAATTTTCTAACTTGGCCTTGGTTTTTATTAACCCTTAGTAGTAACCCACCCACTAAATTTCATTGGGATCCATTTAATGCATCGTAATCTATTTTGCTCACAAACAGACAAACAAGTGATTGAAGTGACATACAAGAATTGTACAGCCCATAAGGCTGTAGGTGCCCATACTTAGGCCCATTTTTTAACTTAATGACATTGGTTTTGACTTAACCCTGCCCACCTGCTAACTTTCATTACGATCAATTCACAGAATTTTGAGTTATCCTGCTCACAAAAAAAACACAACAAACACAAAAGGTCCACTGCAGTGATGTAGTGACCCACCCCCCTTTTTGAACCTGGCATATGTCTCCCCAACAGTACCCTGGGAGCCATCCTCGTTGAGCGTCACGGAGAGTTAGCCTTGGTTAGCCCGTCCCCGACAGACGCCCTCCCCGCCCTACGCTGTGCACCACATGCGGAAACCCTCTAGGCCACGCGCTGATAGTGATTACGCAAACCCTAACTCTCCGCGACGCCCAACGAGGATGGCTCCAACAGCAACTTGCCTAGTACCTGAAAAACCATGAACATCCAATGGCATCCATTATTGCTTCAAGAGTTAATATGCTGCCTATTATCCACAGTCACCCCACCATAGCCAAACCAAAAATATTACCTTGGCAAGGGTATTATAATATTTTTAAAATGTAATATATAGGGTCGATAAGATCCAACAAATACAGTGTAACATTGTTAAGTAAATGCGGACCAGACCTGCCTCCAGAACCTGTTGTGTCTCAAACTACAATATTCAGTTTGCTTGTGGGGTGAAGGGTAAAATTTGAGTTCTGATTTACTCATTAAAATTGATTCTGAAAATGTATGAAACAATGTTGCAAAGGGTTTGGAATTCGCATTGACAACATTATGGCCTTCCTAGCTGTGGACCTGCCCAAAAATGAATGTTGGGAGGGTTTTGCTAGGGTTGGTTGTACTTACTATGATTTTCTTTCAGCATAGTCCCTCTACATCTGAAATCTTCATACTTGTATTACAGGCTATCCTTCTCAACAGGGATACCCTCCTCAACAGGGATATCCTCCTCAACAGGGATATCCTCCTCAACAGGGATATCCTCCTCCTCAACAGGGATATCCTCCTCCTCAACAGGGATACCCCCCTCCTCAACAGGGATATCCTCCTCCTCAACAGGGATTCTCCCCACCACAGCAGGGATATCCCCCTCCTCAACAGGGATACCCTCCCCAAGGTTGTAAAACATTTGCCATTATCATCTTGAATGTGTATACCATTAAGTTAACATTGATTCTCTTTTGTCAGAAGAGTAGTAATAATAATGTATTTGATTTGGCTCTGGTATGGGTCCATGTGTAGGTCAATGCCATGACTTGATTACTTGTCTGCGGATTTTTTTTTAATCATTATTGGTGTGGTTAGCTGTTCAATTTCAAAAATGGTCCATCCAGCTTTTCCCAATCAAATTACCCATACCCCCCGTGGTGCGGCATAGTTCCTAGAATAGTTGCTCCAACTTTGAGAGATGGTACACCTGATGACGCCTTTCCAAGTGCACTGACTTTGCGTAGGTGAAGAGCCATCTTGTGTTACAATTTTTCACATCGTTCATAACCTCCTGTAGCTGCTTTCAATTGGCTTTCCTCGTGAGGGCAGTCACCTGATTTCTTTGCCCACGGAAATCAGACCAGGCTTCAGTGGAATTTTCCCTTCTGGCCCTGGAGTGAAGACGATGCTTCCTGCGGATTGCAGCTCTAACTTGTTTGTTTCCATAGATCCATGGCTTTGCTGTTCTGTGGATGGAGATCAACTTGTGTGGTATGTGCTGCTTACATATAGTCATGAACAAAATTTGTCATACCAGGAGTACGTCGTCCATAGCATAAGTGAAATTTGTATCCCAATTAAGGGGCATGTTTTATGTCTTCACAAAGAGCTTCAAGATTAATGCTTTTTTATAGAGCCATACTACGTTACCTTCTTCCATGGGGGCGAGTTTCTTTGAGATTTAATACTGTTAGTAACAGTTGTCAAATGATCTGAGTGTCCAAGAGGAGGAAGGATAGAGTACAAATTTTACAATGCGATACTCAAGTGGAGCCCAATGTCTATGTAGAGTTCCAGTTTGGTGGTGCATATAGCAGGTTGTGAAGTTACTATCAAGTCCAACAGGTTGGCCCCTCATGTTGGTTCATGGAGTATTTGCTCCAAGCTGTGGTTCAGGAAGATGCTCTCCAGACGACGTCCAGGGTTGTCTGATGCATGACTTGGTATTTAGCCAGTCATTATTTTTCGAATTAAAGTCTCCCAGAAGTAACTTGATAGTTTGTGTGTTGCTTGTTGCTGAGTTAAATCTGGGGTTGGTTGATACTGAGTGATTCCAGTCATTAGAGTGTCTATCATAAGTTACGCAACAGGTGAGTACAAACATAGTGTCATTATTGTTATGCAAAACAGGCCTCTCAGTAATACCTATCGTTTTTCCTGCCATTTTCACTTCTTTTGTTTAAAAATTGGTCTAAAAGTGCCAATTCTGATTTGATATATATACACAAGTCAATCCCCATGTTTTTCACATGATGAGGAGGAAGGATAGAGTACAATTTTACAATGTGATACTTAAGTGGAGCCCAATGTCTTGTTCTTAAAGCTAGTTTGTCTATTAGTATTATAATAGTAATTAACTGTCAGTGGTATTACTCTACCATGCTTCAAGTATTCAGAGGCACATAACGTGCATAATAGGCAAAGTATGAAAGGTCTGAATAAAATGACATATATATGTATAAATATTATATATATAAATATATATATATATATATATATATATATATATATATATATATATATATATAGTATATATAGTGT